AATAGATACGTGTACTCAAAACAATTCGCCCTTTTATCACACAAACAAACAGGAAGTTCCGTATGATAACACCAAAATTTTAACATGAATTATTTCGAAAAGATATTTAGATTAGATATAACCAGGTCTGCTTATAATACGTGTTTAGAGTTTTTGGTGCATAAATGACCTAAAATAATTCTTGTGAGGAGCCTAAATTAAGGCACTCGCGCACCATGGCCATACCTCCATTAGACTGTTCTCGTTTCAAGTTCAATGTCAAAGAGCAAGCGCAGCTCTACCTACGTCCAGGCCAATGATGCTAAATATAGTTTGAAAGTTGTCTTGCGTTGTGCTTCTACTTCAACCGTCAGCTGGGTGTAGTCATGTTTGGTTTTCTGCATCATGTTTGGTCGTGAGGAGAATGTTAGAGCGAAGCGCAAGATCATAACTAACATGCAAGATTGAAATGCATCATTTCACTACGACAACATTGAGCTTCACATGAAGAAGAAGCACACTGTCAAATTTGAAAATTATGAAAAGTTGTGATCAAAAGTGGAGCAAGAACATTTCTTCGATCACGTTGAGGTCTTTCAGAAGCACTCTTAGGGCTTAATTTGTCTCTGAAGCTGCGGGCAATCGTGAGATTGTGTTCATCATTGACAAAGACATCGTTGAAGATGTATTCAGCGGACAATGAGACAAGTGATGTTGATGAAGACGAGGAGCAAGAGCCCACATTTGAGGGTGAGACCGAATGTGCAATTGTGATCGTTAATCACTATGCTAGTGCTGTGAAGGCGAAAGAGCAAACGATGACACTTTTCAAACGCAGTGAGCCAACAAATAATGATGTCGAAGTGCCATATTCCTATATTGTCACAATTGCGAAATACAAAATTCAATTCTTCAACCTTGCCATTCGATACGTCGCATGTGGAGCTTTGTTCCGCATGACTGCGAACATTATCGGCGAAACATATCAAGTTCTATCTGCTCCGTCGATGCTTTGTTGTTCTCGTGAAAATGTCAACAGCTATGTTAGGGTAGTTTGTGCCGCCAACTTTCAACACCTATTAGAGCTGCTAAAAAAACTTAGGCTTTTTTATTAGCACTAAATTCAGTATCGCACCGAATGATATCATATTTGGATGTTTGTCTTTGTGTGTATGTGAAGAATAAGCGCGTCGTTGTCAATCTTCACGGGTGCGCACCGATCATTTTCAAACGACACACAGGCAAAGTCATGTTCAACATGATTTCTCAATTTCTTGACATACTCTACACTCATTGGAGGATTTGTCTTCTTGGAGTGTCGAGCGATGAAGCTCAAAATATGACAGGACGTGTCGTTGACATCATGACAAGGCTTTAGGTAGAACTTCATAATGATTGTAATCTAATTCGAATCTAGTGCGGAGTGCACCAGCTCGATCTAGTTATGCAGCACATCATGAATGTAGTTGTGAAGCAGCGCTTCTTCTTTGTGATGATGGGTTTCATTTCGCATCTCACTTGGCTACAGATCCTGATTGCAAAAATGAGTAGGATATGTCTTTGTGTTGTAAATTGATGGCTTTCTACAAACAAGATTACAACTTGGTTCAAGAAGCACCGGTCTAAGCTCCTAGCTTACATTGAGTTGAAGTTGTCTTTGAGTGCTTCGTTTAGACTTTGATGGGTGTACCTTCTTGCCATGGATGTCTTCATGTTGAACAATGCCAAAATCTTTCGCACTATTCAAGGCCTGACGACGCTAATATCGCCACAGTATGCGGAGTTTGACACTCTCGATAACATCTTCATCTAATATCTGGGTATTAATGGCTCGTTAATAGAAGAAATGATTTCTATCCGGATGTGATGAAGCATATCATCAGGGATCGCTACGCGCTCATACTTCTGACTCGCATCGTGGATTGAAGGCAGTCTTGACGCTACCAATAAGACGCAACTTAACGAGTTGTTGCAAGATGTTGGTATAGTTTTTGCTTGCATTGAGAAAATTGTTTTGCAGCGCGATGCATACAACATCCCATTCGTCGATCCACTCGCCCTACCACATGTTTTACCGCAAGAGCTTGTTTGCTCTTCCGCAACCGACTTCATTCGCAAGACTCGTAGGCAAAGTTTTTGCCCGCAGCAGCGATACACGATGACACAAATCGACATCAATCCTGACAAGCATAAAACTCTTCTTCGAGCTTACCGCAATGAATCTGTGCTATAAGAGAGCATTGATGGTTGTAACCAAAAGACATCATTTGACAATGCTTGGACCTTACTTAGTGTTCGGTTTCCAAACTTGGTCGAGTTTTGCGGTGGCATTGCAACTATATTTTTCGGCACGAATACAATGGAGTCTGATTTGTCTGTTTTGAGGTGGGAGAAAGGTGGTCACCACAATAGTTTTTCATACTTTGGACTTGAAGGTGTGCTGCAGGCGAAGCAGTCAATGCAAATTGAGTCACTTGCGAATTGTTATGACTGAGGAGCGAGCACGCATCTTGATTACTAATCAATTAATTGATTAGTAATACACGAATAAAAATTTCTAATTCTCGTTTATTGAATTTCAATCTCAACTAAATGTGCTATCGCTTAAATTAGTTTTGAAACGGCGCCTATATTAAGCTGATTTAGACGATCACCTATCATAAGGAGGCCTGCATATAACTCATAATGTTATAATCAATACTGAATATAATCAATACAACATCAATAATTGTTTTGTTACGATGTTATATATTTTTCATTTTCTTATAGCATATAGATAATTTCATCTAATATTAAGTTGATGACATAAACTAAAGTCAATTCAAATAGTTAACTAATATTCTTTCTAAGATGTTAATAGATAGATAAATAATCATATATATTTAATCAATATTAATAACAGATCAATTATGACTTACCACATATAAATTGAAAAAACATAAATTTTGTTTAAAATATAAAAATTGAGTTTATTTATTAATTCACTTTAAATCATATATATATATATATATATATATATATATATGCTAAACTCAAATTCAAGGTAACATTTTCAATTTTAATCAAATCAGAAATATGCATCAATGCTTTTGATTTCATTAAAAAAATAAAGATATTTGAATCTTACTTTTCTGTAATTGATCTGAACATTTAAAAAATTCCAGTTGAATGTATCATCGTTTTTCATAGCTGAATTTTTTTCTATTTTTTAAACATTGTGCCACATGTTGTTCTGAATTAATTTGTCTTATATATAAGGTTTGCAAGAAAATATTAATGATATTTTATCATCGAATTTGCTTCTATAATTCCAACCACAGTATTATAAAAAAATTTCCAGGCGTGTAATTTAAGTGTTTTTTGGATAATTAAAGTATGAAAATATTTGGCAGTTAAGTCTAAATTTTGCAATTTTGATTTTTCCTTATTTTATATACATGAAAACTTCATAGATGAAATTTCAAGTTTTGACTCTAAAAAAAGTGTGATTATAATTTGTAAATATTTTTTCTGGAACAAAGTTATTATATATTTTATTTGAATTCCTATATTTATATACATTGACTCAACATATTGACTTTCTAGAAACAAAAAGCTGAAAATGATAAAGATACTGATAAAATAATCCATGTTTGTTTGTGTATTTTTTAACCAAGGCTAATTTTTTCGTTAAATTTCCAATTTGAATTTATCTTTCAAGTTCTTCTATCTCTTTGACTATTTTCCAGAATTTTGTGTGAATTTTTTCTCACGATGTATGTGAGCAGATATCTTCTAGATCACCAAATTTAGAACGACAAGTAAATTTATTGCTTTTTTGCTTTCTGGATTTTTTTTATTGGTTCAAGGATTATTTTATAATACTAAATATGATGAACTTTGCTTTCATAGAAGATATGTAAATAAATAAATGTCTATATTGAGATTTCATAGTACATACCTCATAAACAAAACGTTTAATGTTATGTGTATTAGAACAAGAGATACCATTTTGATTATTATTCATGCTCGAGGTTATTTTTAAGCTTTGTTCCCATGGTATGTTTTATTGCTATTGGTAATATATTTTATAAATGTTTCATATTGATTGTAGTATTATAAGGGCTACTGATTAAAATTTGAAAAACACCAATTGATAGTTAGAGTTGATGTTATTTTGATATAAACAATACGATGATGGAGAATGAGAATTATATAAAAGAAAGTTAGGATATGAAATAAATATGCAGACTTCTTTTCGTAAATATTTTCTGTTAACAAATATACTGAGCCCTAGCATTCTAAATATTCAAAAGCAGGCAGATTTAGTATTTTGCAATACTTAATATGAATACAATGCAAGCAGTTATTTATCTGTAATTACATATCATCAATGAGTACAAGGAGACATCACTATTGTCTGCACGTTCACTATGTTGAAAGAATTGGAACCACAAAGCCCTAATGATGACACCCTACTATGATACAAAGAGTTAGATATCCCACGTGCAAGAGCTAAATTGAATATAACTGACTAACAATGAATTGCAAGTTGAATCCTGAGGCACTATATAGTGTGCAATGTTCTATTACTTCGTCATTACCATGATAAGTAGCTCCTTCACTTTTCATCAAAACACAGTGCTCATAATTATTAGTGTGAGCTACACTTCAACAGTCACTTATCTCGAGGCCATCACACGTGCTTCCTAACTCCCATGTCAAACATCTAGTGCTAAAACGAATCAGTTACAATTTCCAATCTTCGCATCAAAGCCCTACCATTGTCAACTTTCGAGTATATGACATATACCTCAATGAAGTTTTGATTGTTGACTTGCACAGTCAAAAGATGTGCCCATTCACCAATATAAGCACTTGATAACAGCAAATAATACAAACTTTAAGTCAATGCACAGACGACTTTTCAGATTTGGATTAATTGAAGGAATTTTGCTGCACCACCTCAAAAGAAGCAAACAGAGGTCAGGTTTCAAGGTTACAAGGTTGAAGTGTAGTAAAATGCAGCCGACACCATCTGTGAAATATTGCTGAATTAAATTTTATTTGGCGTGATTGCCACAAAATTACATGAGAATCGCCTCAAGCACCCCTCCTCACCAACTTGTGTAAAACATAGGTTAATGCCAATTAATTGCTGTAATGAAAATGTTTGCTTAATGATTAAATCTTACGAGTTCTCAGGTCTAAGCCTAAAGAAAGAACGTAATTATAGATATGTATGGAGGCAACCAGACTGGTGATTGGGCCAATGTCCATATATCTAGTTGATACGTACCTAGAGAAGAGGCATTCAGTTAAAAACCTGGCTGCTTCCATGACGACTGGCTCGACTAGTCTTTGCGCGCCAACTCATCTAACTTCTGTTCATGAGGTAGACGTAACAAATGCGCTCCCCAACTCAAGATGATCACAAATTGACGAGACTTGGAAGAGCATCGGTGAGAGCATGCCTTGTGCCTTAACCTTTGCTCATCTCTGAAAATACCCCTTCAGGAAAAGCATTGGCGAGAGTCTTCGCCGCAGAGTTTACTCGTGAGGGTTCCTGGCAAATTTCGATCAAAGAGATTGTCATTTCTTAACTTTACTGGATTACACACTTGTCACTTAACTGGAATACAAACTATTCGGTCAAAGGCCGAAAGAAACAAACACCAACTAATGAGCAGAGGGATTATTATAAGATCAACCTTGCCAACAACGCTAATTATAAGTTGGCCTTGATTTCTACTGTCTCCTCCTTTGATAGCTTGAAACTGGCATGATTCTCGGTAGCAGCCTGAAGGCATCCATCCACTTTATTAGAGCACTAGTCGTGAAAAAACTCAGAAAGTTAAGTCCAGAGATGGAAAGGTGAACTCATGATGCCCAAGAAACAACACCTAGCATCACCTACACAACATTCATTTGACTTGGAGTAGCTGCTCCCAATCTTCGAGATCCTCCGAAAGAGTGAGAGTTCACAATAAACGATCAAAAGTGAAAATTAAAAGCAGTTTGGAATCTACATAAGAAATATAATTCACTATGGCTATTCGTTTAAGGTTAAGGGTTAAAGTTTACTTGTACTTAAAATGAAACTACTACAAGTGACCTTGTTAAAGCTCATCATGAAAGACGTAGCAAACCTATTGTCAAGTCTGGAAACTCGGAGTCAAATCGTGCCAAAGGCCCTGCAAGCTCCACCTGGACAGCATTTCCAAGGAAGTGAACCACACGTTAAAACCCACACGTTCTACATGACCACGATCGCTGCTTTTATGTGTGAATTTCTAGACATCCGCCTTTAGATCTAAAATTTAACTAACCGTTTATGTGAGGAGATTATATACATTTTTCTCATTTCTCCAAATGGTTGTCACATACTTACTTCAGGGAGACTTGTTCGAAGCCTGATTGATGTGAAAGGTTGTTGAACATGAAACAAATCCTTCTCCTTGGCTGACTCCAGCAGGCACCTCCATTGTAGTGCTAACTCAGAAGTAGTCACTCCAGAAAGCACGTACACATTTCTACACTTAATCTGCAGACGATGGATTCTTTGTTCACGTCATTTGACTCAACAAATATTACCCATCAAAACAATCACTACGCTGACGTCCTTAAAAAGCTGACTGGTTGTCGAGGAACGTAATGTTGCATGCTTCAGCTCGGGATAGATGTGAAACGAAAAAGCTGGGAGGTTTCATCATACCACCGGAACAGCGGCATCCTTGTGGTGCAAAAGCTCAGTTATACCTTCTGGTAACCTTGCCATCTGCAACGAGGACGAAGTATTCGATCAACACAGTTTCGAGGTAAATAAATAAGGCTTGGAAAAGATCTTAGAGATTAGGAGACAACTCAAGCATACTTTGTTTTCGTCACCCGGACAATTTTCTCCATAATGTTGACGGAGGTCCTCCTCAAGCTCTTCATCGGGTGCCTGAGAATGTAAAAATGATCAAATGACGGGCTGATATGGATTTCAAAATGAACGATCACGTACCTAGGACTTAAGATAAGGCATGCAAACAACTATTTAGAAGAGCAAATATTCCCAAGGAACAAACGAACGAAGATTTATACCAGACTAACTCCTTAAGGTAGTGCAAAGGGAACAGCAGACTGATTAGAAGTGTCCTACTGTTCAACCAAGATGCTGCAGGAAATGGCTCGGAGGTATCTACGCAAACACATGGTATCTGAAAAGATGAAACAAAATCGCAGCAGAGACATTGAAAAATATTCAGAAGGTTTCACGTGCATGAACGATCAATATTCACTCACCAAACGAGCTCCAAAAGCCTTCGCCACTCCAGCAAGGGTAACATCACAATGCATCGTGCCGACCCCCCCGGTCATAATTACCTGCCAGCTCCATCAGTTAGTTCTTAGTAAAAACCATCCGCACCTGTCAATATTGCTGGACTAGACTCTTTCTCTCACCTCGCAGACAGAAGCCTTAAAAACCGTCGCAAGGTATAGTCTATATACTGTCAGAAGGAAAAGGGTGACTTTAAGAAGTTGAGATGGGCAGCAGATGCCTCTAAAAAGGTTGAAATTTGACTCGAGAATGACGAAGGTACATGTTTTCATGTGCTAGTGGAGGTTTCTCGTAAGCTCCCAAGAAGAATCCACCACTAGAAAATGCAACAAAGTCTCGTGCTATCCAGAAATTTATCTATACTGAACTCCGTAACGCTCAGGAATCACAACATAATAAGGGGATTGTCCTAGAGACTTCTATACATATTTGCATGCCATGGCCTTGACAACATAGACCTCCCTCCCACCCTGGTTGATTGATGCTAGTAATATGAGCGTGTACAGACAAATACAGAAATCGGGGTAAATAAGAAGACTGGCTAAACCTTCAGCCACGGCATATCTCTTCCTTGAATTTTAATAGAAAGCTCGAATCTACTGTAAAAAATAGAATATAATAGTTGTAAAAATGATTACAAAACATTTGGTGTGACAAAAGCTTTGCCTCACAAATTGCAGTTATGAATTGTATTGACAATCTTATTAAGTACTCACTATGTCACAATCGCTTGCACGGTGCTCAACTTCCTCAGAGATCGCATCTATCTGTATTTTGCAGAAGTTAGTGCGATGATTCTCAATGAGTCATCTTGAGGCAATACAATACGGCTTCCTGCGTACTGCTTATCTAACTAGGAGAACTAACAACATCGAGCTGATATTCTGGACGGCGGTACTTTCTTGTTCATGACAATGAAGTAAGAATGTCAAAGATTTACATCTATATCGGTTTGATAAACTTGGCGACACGATATACATGAAACTGCATCTGAACATAGACATCTTGTGCACAATACATGAAACTGGTCGTATACTAATAGATGTGAGTAATCTTACATCATTGGGGAGCACTGCTCGACGAGTAACTGTCCAACCAATGGAGTACAGCTCCTTACTCAAATGCATTCCCAGTATGTCATCTACATCACCTCTTCTGCATCATTCGCTCCGGAACACGTTGTCAAAACTAAATTCCTACCATTTAGTAAAACCCTTGACCGTTGAACAATATCACTCGTTGCAGCGCAACAGGCGATGCATTATCCTGATGTATGGGACATAGTGACTTATCCTTGACTAAGTCAGACGCAACTCGATATCTGCAGAATAGTAAGTTCTCAGAATTCAAGAAATAAAAACACACACCTGATATCTCAGTGTTCTATTAACATCCTTGTTCCAGGTAAGCGTCTCTACTAGACGTTATCAAAGTACATGGAAGTCTCTTTTATCAATTGATATGTACCAGTGCTAGAACAAACGGGTCAAACGAAGTCTTGATAGAACAGAAGTAAACATGAACTTACAGTATCTCATCACCAACAACCAAAATTGCGGCTGCAAATAACCCATTCATGCCGTTAAGCCCATTGATGTCTCCGTTTTCTCGCAGACTATCTCTTGATTTAACTTTCACAGAAGCAAAGTTTTTCAGCCTTCCAGCCCTCTCCAGACGTCCATCTCGAAGCAGGTATGCAGGTCGAAATTTCCTATCCGGTGCCGGCAGTTTCTTCCCCTCAGCGGTACCAGCAGAGTTATCATCACTACTTGAATCACTGATGCACAAGGCGGCATTGGGAAGAGTGTCATGGATGCTCCCGATAGATGTGTACCTGAGGCAAAGATCAGACTATAGTGAGAAAAGTCAGTCATTGACTAGGTTAAATTCTGGTATTAATAGATGTTGAAAACCGCTTCGGGACTTCAGTACCCACCAGTATTCATATCCCAAATCCAGCCACAATTCAGTCAAGCTGATGACATCTAAAGATAAGTGGGGGTTCTACATACATGTCAAAAACTCTGGTGACATGCACGGATTATTTGGAGCCTAGAATATTATACGGAACAAGTAGAATACAAACTCACCCTTGATCATATAGACTGCAGTACGGCACTTCACATGCAAGGAGGAAGGCCCATACATCCCTGTCATACACATAAAACAGTTAGAGCTAAACTCTGAGCTTGCAGAATCCTGCAGAAACCTCAATTGGCTAAGATTGAAAGGTTCAGTGCTTCCAGTAGATTCCCACCTGTACGACCAGTCCAAGATAGGATTGACTCGCATGAATGCTGGCCAGCCAGCTGAGCTCGGTGAAAATTGCTCTTGGCCAACCTAGGACAAAAACAAGCTACAATTCAGCCTCATAGTTTGCCAAAAGTCTGTGCTGAGGACCTTCAATTCAGTGTGCATCCAGATGGTACTAATAAGACATACCGCATTTGGATCTCCAATGCGAGTTCCAAGGAACACAGCTTTCATGGGCCTCTTCTTTTGTAACTCCACTAATCCTGACTTGAAATCCAGACGTATAAGCTCCAGCTCCAAGTCGTAACTACATGATACCACTTCATTTCTCAATTCAATAACCCGCACCTCAACGAAATTTTGCCATATATACATTGTACTCCTTGCCAGTTGCCTGTCTGACTGAACATTTAGATGCAGGGGTATTGCAACATAATAATACCACCATACATAAAAGCAACTGCCAGAGCCATTTGGACAGCCTGTCGAACCTGTAGTGAAGATTTGTCCAACTCATATTCTCCGTGTACCAGCAAAACGAAATAAGCAGACTATTGGATTACTTACGCCTTTGCAGTATCCAGGGTGAAAGAATCAATTTCAGGAAAGACATCCGGGCTTTCAAAGTAGATCGTCCTGATGCGATGTTGTGTTCTGGAACGTACATCTTCAGTACATGCTGGTGGTGCTATTTGAGATTCGGCAACAGCATAGCCAGCCCGCAAAAGATGTAATAAAACCTGCAGGAATAAAGAAAAGGTTGCATTTCAAACATAAGAGTCATATTCATAGATGGAAGACAGTTTCAATCCATGTTGCCTTTCAGCAAGTATACGTCAAAGAAAATATCCGTGCAAACGCTCTAGGGGACATGATACATATATATACAAGGAGCAGAAAATTTCGCCTGAACACTGAAAATGCCACTGTGTGTGTGTGCCAAGGTAGTGAGCATAAAATTGCTGTCCATAAGTATCATTGTGGACAAAACCCTCACAAATCACAGCGAGTGGAACCAAAGGGAAATCTGGAGACCGAAATCCACTTGGATCACCTTCGGAAACATGTGTAGATAATGTAATCAGTAAGAGAAACATAAGCATGCCAAATGATCTACTACGAACAACGAACTGTACAGCCCATATTTATAAGATGGTCAAGTTTGAAAAACCTAGAAGTATAAATGAGATTACAAGACTCTAACCAAAGCCTGAGTTTGAGGCAAGTTGAGGTGCTCGATTCCTACACGGGGGAGTCTAATGTCACCGCTCTGTCCGTCAACCGAATGACAAAAGGCTAGATTTCGAAATACATACCGTAGAATCCTTTCCTCCGTTGAAGCTAAAAGCAACTTCCTCACACCTGCAAAATAAGAACAAACATATCATTGACCAGATGGATGCTGATTATCTACCTTTACTGAAGGTTTTGAGAAAACGCGGTTGGAAAGAGTAGACAATATCACAATATGCTAACAAGCAACAAAGCAAACGCAAAGATTGTGAAGCAGAGTAAAAAGAGATGTCACAAAGTATGAAAGTGATTTTTCAGAATGTTCAACACTTATTTGAACGGGATTGTAAAGAATCTCAAACACTACAGTTTTAACTTCTTCTCCTTCTGGTAAGATCTTCATTGATATCACAATACATTTAGCACTAGGGACAGCTTCAGATGAATTAAGTAACTAAAACACGATCTAATCTTCCAACCATGAGTTGTCCCACATCTTTTTCAAGGGTGTAAAATAGACACAGCTCTTAGAACTATCAGTTAGGAGCTTATACAGTACTTCTCGATTGCATGTTATCAAACGACATCGTCAGCCTCTTTTCTGACTCCAAATATCTTTTGCATTAAATTCAAGGATTCAACTCCTGAGCAGGATTTAAGAAATGGTACGTCAAGATCTCATTCTTAGAAGTTTGAAAGGAATGACAAGAGTTACGACAAAAGTTGATTGCAGGTGTGGATGTACTTCGTGATTTCTGTACAGGAATGCACACTCGTGATCTTCATATGTGTAAGGGTGGGTTAATTCAAGTCACTCTTTGATGACTCAATTGTCCATTTTCCAGTGTGCAGCCAAGTCCTTGCAGATGTTCATCAGGGGAACCAAACATCAAAATCAAGAGTAAGTTCCCACTGATCTTCATCTTACCCGTATAGTGACAATGTGCGGTCAATCACGTTCATAGAAAGCTTGAATTTAGCCTGGAGCCGTTTGTCCCCACATTCGGCCACAGAATTCCAAATGTCCATGGCGCCCTCTCACCTTGGCCCCCAAACTCTCGCAAGCCTTCTGCACACTGTCCTGTCCTGCCCTGCCCCGGAAACTAGATACGATTCTGCCTCAAGCAAACAAGCTACATACTCTTCTCAGAACCGCTCGTCCCTGTACTCCTGTCCCAGGATATAATTCCTCTAGCTTCCCTTGCTTGCAGGCCATGCTCTATCCAGGACGATGTCCCTTGCTCCAAGAATGTGATTTCCTCCTACGAGATCCGAAATTGGCCAACCGCATCGAATCTTCCCGCCCCTGTTCTGCCTCGTCTCACGTCCAAATCTTCCTACATTTTCTCAGCACCGAATTCGCCATGTACACACGGTCGTCAGCCACTCTCTGGCAACGCACTCGACGAAAACGAGATCCTACCCTCCCTCCACCAGACAATTGGGTGTGTGAGCAGTGGCCAGCCCGCTCGTCGCTCACTCAGATCGATCTCGTCAATCCGTCAACATTACCACACCTGAACCTCCTGGATTTGCCGCAGTGGCGCCCGACGAGCTCTTCTGCACCACCTGCGCACTCTATCTACCAACCTAGCAATCTCCTCCACTACGCTAGCGGTACGGAACTCGACACCTCGAGCAGGACCAAGGAACGAACGAAGCGAGGACGACGACGAGGAAGAAAAAGCGCCCCGTTGATGAGCTTCTAGCGCTCCTTCCTTCTTCTCCTTCTTCTTTCAAATGCAGCAGCAGCTCCACGGAGCGAGCACGTGCTCCATCTCGGCGTCCCGAGGCGAGCCCGAGAGCGCTGCGCCAGAGCTCGCGCCAAACTCTCTGCGCCATAATAGCCACGACCCGACGACGCTTGTCCCCACCGCCAGGCTCGGTATCTGGAGAATCTCGAGCGGACGTCGATCGCCGCCGCATCGACGGCGCAGGACCATCGTCGCGCTCGATCCCAGCTGCCGGTAACGTCGATCGAGTGTCAGTCGCTTCTCGCCCTCGGATGGGCCCGCGGGTGCACCCGACCGGCGCCCGGTCGCAATCATTAGTGCGGGAGAATAAGAAGGTCTCCGTCGCTGTTCATGTGGCGACAGACTTTGGCGGATTCCCCCCAACTTTTCCGTCCAATTACCGAATCCCATTAATCAGAAGGAATGTCAGTTTGCAACGTGTCCCGCTTTCGAATGCACATCATTCCGATTGCATCTTTTCGCGCGTCCCGCATCTTTTCCATTTCCGGCTAACCCTAGCGTGCCTTTGTTGCGCTTTTCGGGAAAGTCCGCCAGACCTGTATTCCCGCGGCTGTCGCAGTCGCCGTCGCAGCTCCACTATACACCCGGAAAAATTCACTTTCCCGTTCCCCGAAATGTAAGGCTTCTTTTGGAAAGTTGTGGTACGTTCTTCTGTTGTTCTCAAATGTCAGATTTTGTGTTTAATTAGAATGAGCCTTCTGGAAAATATTTTAGCAGGTTCCGGAGATAAGTGGAGGGATTCGGAAGTTACCGGGAATATCTTTTTTTCGCTCGACCGATTGCGTTATTTTCTGACTGGGTACCGGTTGAAGCGGTGCCTGTCCCGGTCACTTTCGCCAAAGTAAGGAGATTCTCCTTCATTAAATCATATCATGCGGGAGTCGTTCAACGGTAACCTGTCAAATTTCCGAATTGATACAATATACGTATGTTGGCTATTTCACGTAAAGAATTCTTTCCAGATCAAACATAAGAAGCATATCAATGCACCTGTACATGATCCCAGAAGAATATGAACACAAGGTCTGTTAAACTTGTCCGTGAAGTTCAATTCAAGTTTCTCCATTGAGTACAGTAGAAGCATAAAGAAAATAAGAAAGTGAGATGCATGGGATTAAAAATAATAGCCGGAATAACAAAATACAAACCAAGGACGAAGCCACAAACTCCCAACGAGAAGTCATATGGGGAAAAGAATCGACCAATCATGCTAATGCTCTTTGATGAATCTTTATTTTCAAAGCTAGACCCTCTAAATGGTACCTCCGTCGAGCAAGCGAATACCAGTGAACTGTAAAACATCGTATCTATGATTGCTGAAGATGTAAAATCTTTTTAATACCGGCACTGATTCACAAGAAATCTATCATGACGGTTGTTGCCTGCTCCTTCGTTGTTTTAAGATATTTCTAATTAGTCATGTTCATGTCTATATATTACACCGTTTATTACATTAAAACACCAATGCGTTATGGTATTTCTCATGATATCAATCATATTAATTTCGTTTTCTATCTCTCACGTAGATTTTTTTAACCTATCAATATGCATAAAAGTATGATCCAAAGTAAGTATTATAAGTTCTTGAGATTGGATAAGTGGAATTCTCATCTGATCGCATGACTCCATTTTGTTGATGTTAGTTAAGAAATATATGCATGATAACTATATAATAAGATGCTTGTGTGATGAAAAGAAAGAAAAGAAAATAATTTTTTTGAAATATGCTTTTGCATCCACTTACAAGAACAGTAGGCATTCCTGAATCACACATCAATCAAAGATAAAATTCAATCACGCATTTTTCGTGGATTCCAATGAAGAAGATGTCACAATCCATATTATGATTCCAATCTGAATCCTCAAGCATCCTGAGATTCAAGGAATCGGCCTTCGGCTTTGATACATCTTCTTATATATTAAGACCTTTAGGTTCATACTGAAGTCCAAGTTGGAAAATGATCCAGCATATTGTGGCTGGAAATTCCTACAATAGTTGACCAATTTTAAATTTACATTCATGGTCATAGACGTGCACATGAAATTAAGTCTCGACATAAGCTCCAAATCTGGTTCTCTTGAACGTGGGAATTGAATAATGCTAATGTGATTAAGACAATTGTGAGCTGTTTGTAGCGAAAAAAACAGAAAAAGGCTTCGAAAGTAGCTGTTGTAAATTTAGTATGTTGGTCATAATTCCATCCATAATATTGAAGAACATATAATCATATTTTCCGGCCATGTTCACAAAAACACATGAACAAAATTAAAGGTTAGAGCAGGATCAAGAGAGATTTAGTTGGCAATATATTCGTTCAAGATAAACGCCATTATACATTCTCAATCAGTAAAGAAAGAGCAAGAACACTAAAGAAGTAGAAGGACTGAAGATCTAAGACTAAAAATCTCGTGATAGACAGTCTAAAGTTACCAATATATAACAACTCTTTTTCACCTATAAAAACTGAATGCAAGTTTCAGTTATAAATTTGTGTTCTGTTTGATATGAATGTGAATATAATAATTTAATACTTAAGTAGTATATTATATTATATATCTTAGTTTAATAATATTAATCTTGATATTCACCAACATTCAGTAACTAGACATCAAATATTATTTATAAGCAAATCCGTGTTTAATCACGTTCTTAAAATATATAAGATCAACTTTGAAATTTTGGAGTAAAGATATTCTCTTTAACTATGTAGTACAACTTGATTTCACATCTCAAAATATTCAAGATTTATTGTAATTTAATAATTAGAGGGAATTTAAATTTTTAACATATTTAAAATAAAAATATCAAATACAGATATTCAATGATATATACAATTTTCTATGAAATAAACTGAAAATTATGCCATCTTTTAACTGATATGATGCCAATATAACGCAGGATGAGTTTAAACATAATATAGTATTGAAATTTGTGATTCAACATTTTTTCATCTATTTATGTTACGCATTCCATACATTTTAATAATAACGTTGACAGAATTTTGTGTTACAGATGAGTTTCATGTTCATTGATATAAAATGTGATTTATCAATCAAAAAATGGAAAATTTTGGTTCAAATCTTTTATTATGAAGTAACTATGCAATCAAAGTGAATAAATATAATGTTATATTTTTATTTTTTCTAACATATTATTGTCAACTTTTAGGCATCAGTGATTTTCCGGATATAACTTTAAAATAAATTTATTTTAAATTAAAATATATTATACATACCGTCATAATTATGATGAATTTGTTACATCAAGTGTGGTTTCATTGTGAAATATATCTTATTCAGAATCTTAAAAATTATCAAATTACTATATTCAGAAATTTACCTACTAAGTATTTATTATTTATCATTAGTATATATAATTGTAAAATTAAAATTTTATTGAATCTCAATCATCTTACAGCCGTAATCAATTTGACGCATATAATAAAATTGTAAGCATGTATGTTAGAAATTGTTAAAATGCTTAACAATTTATAAAAGATTGAAACATAATGTGCTGAAACTTATATGAATTGAAATGATCTTTCATTTACAAGGATTCAAAGCCATAAATCGAAATAGAAAATCACTTTCAACTCTAAAAATGAAAGAATACCAAAAAATATTCTCAATGATTTAAAAAAAAAACTTCAAAATTTGATTGAGATGTTTACATAATTTCTTTCTGGATAATGTTTTATTTGATAAAACGATTTAGCATAAACGTTGATTTAGTTGTGGACTCTTGATATTTGAGTTCAGTAATGTCAAGAAAAATTTAGATCGAATCATGATTGTATGGAAAACGGTCTAAATCTAGTTCAGATGACTTCACATTTTCAGACAACTTTACATATTTCTCAAAATTGAAGAGCAACAGGTTGCAATTTGCCCAAATGCAAACACAACAAAAATGCTTGTTACAAACAAATTCCATTTACTGAAATATTTTCTGCATACTCTTGACATTTCTCAAGAATATAGAGAGTTCGCTCATTTCTGGCAGTCTGCTTCTCACACACTTTATCTTATAAACGTGATTTCATTAAAAAAAAATACTCACACAATTTTGGGCATCGATCTTGAAACTAGCTGTTTTCTTATCATATGAAATTTGAAATAATAATGCAAATAGTCATTATAGTCACCTAGCTTTTATTTTTTATACGATTTAGAAATAAATCGTATACAAAATTACTGTCTATACATACATACAGACACACACACCTACCTATTTTCTATAAATTTCTGATATAGAGACGATGAAAGTCTGCACCTGCTATACAGTCGACTTGTTAACCACATGGATATTCAAACCGATTAAGTAAATCAAAGAGGAATGAAGATTATGAGAGTATGATGATGAAATATGTTTATAACTTTTATTAATTTAAGTGATTGTATTTTGTTACCCACAATCACAGGCAACGTGCGCAAGACTTTGCAACTAGTTGATTTGCTTACACCCTAAGTACGGCATGCCCGGCTGAATAGATCCTTGCAGAAGAAAGTAAAGAAGGGATGTCACAACCAAGGGTGGGAAAACGTTGAAGTACCTTACCTCATGAATGCAAAAGAGGTCAGCGAAGTTGCCCCTGTTACTCCCAACGCCCTCAAAGTCTCGAAAAAGTTTATACTCAACTTGGGTTCTTCAATCGCAGGTTACACCAAGACTTTCCCAGAAGATCGCTAGTTTGGAAATGACCTCATGGAGTGACGAGGACCTCTGTTAGTTCCCTTACGAGAAGCTTCTGAAAGTGCACAATTTTGCTCCGCAAGAAGTTTGAGAGTAAGAGCTCGGAGCGGACTCCAGCAACAAACGTGAGCTTTGATAATACTATTGGGCCTCAAGTGACACCTCACAAAACTGACTAGCAAGGTGCGACAGAGGTCCCGGGGCTCCCGGCGTAGAGCAGTGTGAAGACACTGCTCCCGTGAGGGACTGACTCACATCAGGGACATCCATCAGGGACAACTCACATGTGGACATCTCACATCTCGTGAGATGTCCATGCATGGATCATTAGTGTGCTGGAGGCTTTCGCTGAACAGGTATAAAACAGCTCACGTGTACTTCAATTACGCGCTATTGAACAGCGTTCGAATCTTATGAACGAGGAAATTGCTGAGCCAAGAGCTTCCACTTCCCGCACCGAGTCTTATGGAAGCAATCGACCGTAATACTATACAAATGAGCGTGCCAAACTTGTGGTCCAGATCAAGGAAGTTCGATCTAACGAGATTCCAGTCACAGGTTTCTGATTCTCCACAAACTTATTCTGGTCGTGAACCTTGCTGAAATTCACTCCGACGCTCCTGGATATAATTTTTCCTATTTCAAAGAAGACACTAGTTTGCAAAAAAGAAATAAAGAAATGAAGAAATAAAGAATTGAACAAAATGAGCAACCTAGTCAAAGCACAACTTGCTGGATAGTGTAACTTACAGTATAGCTAAATATGGCTATCTTCGCATGTATAAGTATCATCACGTACAACCAAGAGGAAGCGTGAATATAAAACTTTGCAAGCATTGCCTGGGCAACCGTCCGATCCAAGTTTGACACGCTCTAGTTCGTGGGATTTTTCTTGCAGAACGGATGTTGCGAGGTGTCGTTGTACATACTGCTGTAATTGATGGCCAACGAGATTTTTTTTCATTTTGGAAACTTTTCCTTGTATCTCACTGGCACGTTCACTGCCATCGCATCTTGGTGATCGGCGAGTCGAGGCACGGTATCGGTGTTTCAGGGCTTGAAGGAAACGAGCAGACAGAGGTTCTTGAAACGTGTCCTCTCGATGCGCGAAAACTTCCTGCAATCCGTAACGGTACAACAAATTAAGAAGTATATTTGGAACCATCCAATGTGTACTCTTCGTATATAAGCACCTCCAAACACAGTGTAAGGAAGGTCTTTCGTATAGCTTTTCTACTTGTAATGTTCCATGTGTGTATTAAAAGCTTCAAAGCCGCGTCAAGACTTTTACAGTAACTGCTTCATTGATTTTAGGGTGATCTAAATTGGATAATCTTCCAAATAATAAGTTCAAAGAGTGTGTGTAATAAAGCAATGAACCTGAAGGTCACCACGCGAAAGACCTGAAGTTGGATGAAAGCAGATTGTAGAGAGAAAGAACGCAAATTAGGGATGACATGAATATAGAATGGTTAAGAGAAAATCCAGAAGATAGTGGACACATAACAAATGCACCATACTTAGGAGCGTGTGGGAAGCCGAATGAGTAGAGTGAAAGTTGCATATCTGAATGTAATTAATGAGAATAAAAGATGCCTTGACTTTGACACGAATTCTGACTTATAGGGAGAGTACCGCTGTTAAATTCGAGTTGAGACACAGATAGAGTAAAATAGCAGTCCTCTAAGTTGTGATGTTTAGTCTTCAGTGTGACTCATTTACACGTATCCTATTTAAGAATCCTGAAGCATTGAAACAAAAAACCCCGGAGCACACAGCCACATCTGATTGGAATAACCAAACATAGAAGCAGTGGTCCATTTCTAAACTTTCCTTAATTTTGCTCTGGGCAGGAATAATCTCTATATCATGGGCAACGGTTTTTATGTGAACCACTATCAAAATGTTTTCTGCACTCTCTGTTTTAATTACTGTTATTTTTATCATAGTTCTGGTATCGTTGTAAGTGTTTAATTTGTAAAGTACGCGATTGAATTCAGGAATACGTTCAATATGAGCTTACTTTGTTTCAAGAGTTTCATGGTATCGTTCACATCTATGCGTATCGCGGTGGCAAACAATTTAGTAATAGATCTAGTCGCGCAGGTTGCTATTCTGCTCGGTTAATAATAAGATTCAAACGATTAAAATAGATCACTCGAGTTAGAAAAGTTCCTGCTATAGAGCGTGGTTTACATTTTAAGTTTGAAGAGTCATATTTGTAGTTGCCAATCCGTTTAAACGTGCAACATCTCGTCCAAATTGTTTAAGCTCGAAGATTTGTACAATAGAAAATGTTCGTTGTCTGAATATACAGTTTGCATAGTGGTAGCATAAGTCGCGTGACATCTGTGTATTTTAGGAAGATAATCTATTCTGTTGATTTTCAAGCGGCTTTGAGTAGTTCTATTTATCTCAGATTTTTTTTCATAAAATATGTTGTTGGGACGGTGTCTTGGAAGTGAATTTATTAGTTCATATGATTCTTTTTCCTCTTGCTTATTTACGATCATGGATGAAAACTCAAAATTTATTTTTACTGATATATAATCACTACACATGTACTAATATTACTATTGTATTCGATCGTTTACAATTGACGGTTTTAGCTATATTTATTGGGATTATTAGAGTATGTTATATGTTGGGTAGATATACTTAGTTTGAATTTAACAAAATCGACTTTCAAATTCTTACAGCAATTTATTTCCCCTTTTCCCTCAGGAGAATAAACTCATTTGATAATTCTATAACAAAAGTGATCGGCCACAAATTTTAACTCCTCAATATTAATTCAGAACAAGATATACACTTACCATGATTCTTTTCTAGTAACTCACAGCCAGTTCACCTTCTACAGGCTCGAATTTGACACGGTGAAAATTCCAGTTTTCGCTCGTAAACAGCTGTACAAGTTCATTCACATCGTCCGGAGACGAAGCTACATTTATTCCAAGAGACTGCCAACACAGTAACCAAATGTAAGGAGTAACAGACCGTATGTATTATGAATTGAAGGAAAGAGTTCATCACAATGATGACTACAACTCTGTTCTCTCAAGCTGTTCATATACAGATGACATTATAAGTATATATCTTGCGTCACACATTGTTCAAAAGCGTATGACATTGACATCGAATACATAGGGCATCAATCTAGAACCCAGCGTGGCTAACAGTGTGTAAAAGCCGGAGTTGCAAAATTAAATGTATCCTATAATCAAAGTACTATCCACGTGCAGATGGGGCCCCCAAGAAGAACTGCCGCTCTACTTCCGCCTTGTTTCAGTAGACACGAAATCGGTTCTAAACAGATTCTTCTCGCAATGAGTTCTGTACAGTGCTACTTATATACAGATCGCAACTTCATAGGTCGTGGGCGTCTACATCACTCTACCTTAGTCAACTTGTCGAAATAGTTCAAAGGCAACAAAGGAAGATAGCTCGCAAGTGGGAGCTGGCTATCCTTCAGGTTGATAATAACGTGATTCGCCTTCTCACCAACACTGCGTACAACTCCGACTGCTTGCGGCACCATGGGAAGTCCGAGAGCAGTCTTCCACGCCTTAACACCGTAAGCTTCAGCGATTGGTTCATACTGATCAAAAAGACCCTTGGCCGTGTTGATGATCCCTCTCTTGTGAACCTCAGAAACAACGCTTCGGGCGAAGTCAGGTGCATTCTTGGCGACGTCCATAACCTCATAAGACTTCTCCTTGACAAGCTCGGGGAGCACATCCTCCATCAGACGGAATATATCATCAACCTGTAACGACTTTGATCGTTAGAAAAGCGAGACGATCTGACATCATTCGATCGCATCATGAAGAGTATACGAGCGTTGAGAAAGACGCAGAATTGATGCTTTTCCTACATCATTGGAATGAAGATACGTACCTTTCCATCGACAAAACGCAGAAGCTCCAAAGGTTTACCCTCAATCTTCTGATAAACGGGGCCAACGACAGTCTTCACAGTGCCCTCAACACTATCAACCCCTGGCTTGAGTGGACCAGACATATCCTTTGCGGACTCATATAGAGTAGTAACATAGACAATCACCCTAATGACGCCAACTTGGACAAAGCCCAGATACTTCAGACTAGGAGTTGATGGCATGGCAGTTTCTTTATCCTGGACTTTCTCTCCAACCTGCACATCGACACAAATTAATTAATATAAATCTTGATCACATTGACAAAAAAAATCCTCTGATGAACCGCATTGTCGTTCAGTAAAGATTACAGTCACAGGTCAAGTAGACTGAGCAGCAACATGGTAAAATAGACTTCGACAGAAGAGATCGATGTTCTTCGTTTCGAGCAAGTAATCTGTGCCGCTGAAATCTCTAATAAAAGCTCAACACAGCTTGGGCGTCACAAACACCAACCGATTCGAGAATCTGAGGCGCGACAAATCGACTACGACCAAACTCCAATGTGGACACAGTTTAATCAACGTAAGCTTAATCACACTGATCAAGAAAATCCCTTAATGAACTCCATTTTCGTTCACTATAGATTACAGTCACAGGTCTATCAGACTCATGGAACAAAATGAAGAAAAAAGACATTCGACAGAAGACAGTAAATTTAAAGAGACTTCAGCAGTCATGTTCTTAGTTTCGAGCAATTCGAAACTATGAAAAAGATTTACTTGACCTAATTCCAAGCGTTCGAAACCTTCCTCGACTAAAATAAAGGGTATCATTGGTTTCGCACCAACGTCGTGCGCTGCAGGTTAGAGCACGGCAGAGAATACGCTTCTCTGATCGGTAGCAAGAAATTTTCTTGCTACCGATCAGAAGTGCATAACGAACCAAATTCACGTCAAATCCACTCAGATCCAAAGTACGACGGCATAACAAGAAAGGGTCTCGAACTCGGAGGAAAGCGTGAGCTGGAAGCGGACCTGAGGCTGAGGAGCTTGGACTTCCGTTTCCGCCATAATGGAGCTCGGAGAAATTCTGAAAGTGATCGGCAGTGACGCTCAGTACGAGAAACGCAGGAAGTGTGAGTCTCCGCAAGTCCACTGGAGCGAGAAATTTGAGTGCGGCAATGAGTTGAAAGCAGAGCCTCGAAAGATAGCGGTAATTCTGAGGAGCCAGAGAGCGGGGAGAAGGTGTAGGAATGCAGGACGAGAAAAGAATATGAAGCAGAACGAGAGCGCGCAGGAGGAATCTTCCAGAATGGTATGGACGGCTCGCATTACTTCTATGCATGGCTCCCTGTCATGCATGCCCATACCTCATCCTCGTCACCGAACCACCTCCGGCGCGGTTTAAGCGCAGAGCCAAATGCGGAGAGTTTCCCCGCTGGTACATGGAACCGACTGCCCGCGACGGACTCCCCAATTTCAGCAGAACCAATGGGAGGCGCCAGCGGGAACGATGGTGTGAACCTACATTCCTGCTCCGAGCCTGAGATTTGAACCAGGGTGATTTGGCACGCGCTGGATAAAACGTGTCAAATTCCGAATGGAGGTTTTGAATCTTTCCACAAGCATCGCCCGTTTGTACGACGCTCCCACGCGTCCTCACAGCGCAGGCACCGTCTCTCAGAGAATCTGGCTTTTTGTCCGCACATACCCTCCACTTTGGAGGATAGTTGCTCGGGTCATGAGGTTTTCTTAATTTGGGCAAACTTTTAGACCCCAGCATTATGCTCTGCGGATCCGGAATTTCTTTCGATTCGTCCAAGGATAGGAGCTCGATGCTCCAACCTAGAAGTTCATGTATGAACACATGTCCCTTTTTTTGTGATTGTGATCCGGAGCAGAAGTTCTGTGTGTTTGATGTGGTCTCATTTGGCCCTGGCTTGCGTTTCTTTCTCAAATTCTTCCACTTGCTTGAGACAAAAATTCCCCCATGGTGCATTGGATAAGGACGAATTTCATAGAGTGCACCGATGGGCGGAGGGATATATATGATGACGACGAGCTAGGAGGTCAAGAATTTAGGGGTGCAAAAGTGCACAACATACAAGAGAGGTCAATTACCATTGGATGAAAATTGATACGCTACTATCTAAAATGAATAGTGTAGCACTACTAAACTCTTATTGTATATCTTCGAAGAAAGAAATGCGAGTTATATACTAGTATATACATAAGTAGTGAAATACCTTCTTACCAAAAAAGTTTTGGGGTCAATTCTGGTTGGTGTTTAAATGCCTTTTTGAAAAAACCCGCTTTAGGTTTTGATCCTTAGTACTAAGGGTGGCAAAAACCTTGCTCCCCCAACATTTAGTTATTTTTTGACAGTAAAACTCTTATGTTCCCATGGAATAAAACCATCTTATTCTCGTGTACAGCCTGTTTGTTATGTTGTGCTTTTTCTGTCGAGCAATAGCTTTTTGGGTATCGTGAATTTTTCTTTGAAAGTCGTTTTCACGTTGAGTAGTCAGAGGTGAACCACATACTTCTTGCAAAGACCTTGTTTGCTATGCTGAGCTTTCTGTGTCGAGCAACAACTTTCTGATTCACGTGAATGAATGTGTCAGCATATGTGTCGTAAATTTGCTCACTGCATTGCTTTGGAAATTTGTTGTGTCCAAGCTTAGGAAACTTTTCATGCTAGGGGACGTTGTGCCTTGCTTGAACCGGTTGCGCATGAGCAGCAAGACAACGCCGTAAATCACTCATCCAAAATCTCCGTCTGTCACAAGACGGCGTTGCCAACGTGGCTAAGGAAGCGGCCTTTAGGAAAGGTGATGATGTGGCTGCGGACGTGATGATTGCGCTGAATTAGTTTGTGAGACTGAAGCCGCTTGTTGTTGTTAGTGTGCGTAACTTTGTCCGAATGGCGCATGAAATTGCCTTGAAACGAATGTGACGTAGTTTTTGTGTCGTTGAGTACAGATCAAGTTCAGTGCAGCAACGGTTGAAGGTTTCAAATTTCCCAGGATTAAGCAACACTGTCTTCCCAAACCTGCCTGTCGTAAGCGTCTGTTTTGAAGTAGATGTCTAAGCTATAAATTTGCTGGATAACTCATTAAAGTAGATGAAAATACAAATTTTTTTTAATGATGTATATTTTGATATACATGAGAATCTGGCTTGAAAATCACATAGTTGTATTGTAAAATTGGTTGTTATAAGTCGGAAGTAGTAATAGAATTAGCCAAAAAATTAATCACTATTAATTTAGTTATGATTAAGTATAGTTATGATGTTTTGTGACCTCTTGACCTTGGGAGTGTAGAGAGGAATTTTGCTAGATTATAGTTATTAGGTTACAAAATTTAGACAAGGTATCTTCATGACTGCTTCGATCTTGAGCATGTGAGTGCAAATGCATTGAAAAATGGTCGTCCAGTAAAGTAAAGAATCAATGTGATGGGACATCAAAACAGATGGTTGAGAAAATTGCTTGAGGTTTCTTTTTTTTGGAATCAAATGTTGACTTTATTCCACTACAAAGACGAACAAAACACTCCCGCAAGCCGAACACACCGGGGTATGCTGGCAATACCCATTTTATTTTATTTTAACTCATAAGCCTATTAACAACCTGATTACCTAGAGATAAAAGTGGCAAGAGGTGGCCACTCGTACTTCCACACTACCTTTTTACCATTTCGAGGAAAAAAAACCCCTGCATGGTTCCATATGACATTGATTTCCCTTATTGCCTGTGGCACACTGTGGGGTTGTTGCCTCTCGCATCAATCGATGTTAGCTGCTGCCGTCCTATCCAAGTTGATTACCGCATCCCATATACATTGTTTCAGGAGCGCTGGTGGCCATATGTGGTTGTGGAAGACGAACCGATTCCTCTCGATCCAAAGCACCGCTCTCCAGACGAGCGTCCAGGAGTTGGACACTTGCTGAAGATAAAGCAGAATTGGCTTGCCGAACACGCATTGCTTCCAAGAGAGGGGATACCACGACATGCTCGAAACTGGGGTTCCTGCAGCGGCATGCAACACTGACATTGCAAAGGTTCAAGCATGTACTGCCATACTACAATTGAAGAAGCAATGCAATATTGATTCAAGTTTTCATATCTCACAACAAACACATACATCGGACAGCAAAGGCTTGATGGCGCCATTGATTCATTGCAACGGTCCAATGATAAATACTCCACAAAAATGCTGCTTCTTTTCGCGGTCGTGGACCTATCCACACTTACTTCCAGTCCAACGTAAGTTACGCCGGTAGCACTTAGTTTTGTTTCTCATGGATGGTGCGGAAGAGGTGAGTTTGCGGTTAATGAAGTATCCGGCCTTTTTTAACCGTGTAAGTGTAGAATTGGTCGTCATTTCCCCAACATCAACTACCTGGATCGAACACCAGCCTGCACAACCGCGCCAAGTAATACATCTGGCATGAGCGTTTGTGATTGTTGCTCGGAGTCGTAATGACGCGAATGCGTTGGACTACGCCTCTATAGAATTGCTCTTTTGGTGTTGGTGTTTGAACTGCCAATATGCGTCTGAAGCGCGTCCCTAGGTATAACCTTGGATACCTAGCCGACAAGATCGTATCAGCTATTCCAGTCGGAATGGAAGGAAGAAAGTTGTCTGCCACCTAAAAGATGATAGTAGGCTCCGTCGTTAGATGGTCATGGAGCACGCCTAGCCACTCAAACTCAACAGCTTGCCGAGCGGTGCGGTTGTACGTGGCGATCTAGGACTGAGATATCTGAGTATGAAACTTTGAATAAGCACCTGTTTGGTGGCCCGCAGGCCAAACTTTTGTTGTAAGTCCGCCCATTGACGAGGAGTTGTGCTGCCATCTTCGAACAGCTCTCAAAGACTCAAGAGGCCGCGACTTGCCAATTAACAGGTCCGACGCTTCGTGAATCCAAAGTTTGATCCTACAAAGTGATTCGTCCACCAAAGCTGTGTGTTCAACACCTCGTCCACGTTGACAAGCTTGACTAGTTCGAGAAGCGGACTGGTTTTCTCCATGTTTTTGTTATACGCTCCCATATGGATGAGCCTCAAGAAAAAGGGAACCGTTCCAAGAAGGTCCATTAGAGGCTGCAGTATCAATTACAAAAGTCAGGGGGTTGTATCTCGTTGAGACGATGTCGAAGAACAATATGCATCGGTGCATCGTCAGGCGTTAAAGCTCAAATTATACATCTGTTTGTGAGAACGGTCAAAGCTTTTTGTGGGTCTATCAACCCCAATCCGCCCACAAATTTACTTGCACAGCAATCAGTCCATCGGATTTGAACTTGAGAGTGCTCCTCATTTCTTGACCACAAAAAATATCCAAGTGATGTGCGAATGTTGTTAAGTATTGCCTTCAATCCACCCCAAAAACTTAAAAAGTATCATAGTGTCAACATAACACAGAGTTCAGGATCACTATCCGGGCTGCCAAGGAAAGGTGAACAGTCTTCCTGTAACGTAGCTTGTGATCGATCTTCTTAGCGAAAAAGGTATAGACATCTGTCGTCTCTAGGGGGATGTCAAAGGGCATTCCAATCATCTTAGAGAGAGAATTTGATGGAACAATTGCACATCCAAAATTTGCTAACCATTGTGGAGTGAGGCCGCGGCCATACCAGTAAAGAACGCACTTTTCACAATTGATCATGAGCCATATTTCTAGTTCAAAGTCTCGGAGCAAGTTGGAGATGGCAATGAGATTTCTCTCAGTTCCTTGAATAGAGTAAGTGGTGTCCTCGGCGAATTGCGACGCCACTTGTTGAGTAACTTCATTCGGGACTCAAATATCTCTTAGTCGGTCTATGGAGAGCTCATGGTTGAAGATCCTTGCTGGTGATTCTGCAATGATAAGAAATAGATAAGGGGCGAGGAGACATCCCTGCCAGACCTTTCGCTTGATCGGAAAAGCTTCAATGCTGAGGCAGTTAATGGACACAGCTGCCGATGCATCCATAAGTAGGATCTACACCATCTTGGCAAATGAGTATGGGATGCCCATTTTCGTCATGACTTTGAACATAAAAGTACCAACATACGGTGTCATAGGTCTTGCGGAAGTCCAATTTAAGCATGATGAGCTCTTGATCAAATTTTTGAGCCCAATCACTCGTTTCATTCTACACAAGAACATCTAGTATGTAGCGCGAGGGTAAGAAGGCCGCATGTCCTTCATGGATGACCTCAGATAATAATGCATGGAGTCGAGGTTGAAGTAATTTTCCCATATTTTGTATGAAGTATTCAACAACGTAATAGGTTGCCAATTTTGGATCATTTCCAACTCACACTCTTTTGGCCGAAGCATCATCAACCAGGTGTTCATTCTTAGTGACAACTGCCCGTCATCGAAAGCAGTGGTGAGCATTTGGCAAAAAATCTTTTTCTATTATTCCCCAAAATTTTAGATAAAA